CAACGAGGGGCAAATCACTCTTAAGTAATTTGTAATAGGGTAGAAAACATAAGTAATTTAGCAAAGTGAAAAGTAATTTGGTGCAAAAGTAATTTGTACTAAATGTACTAATATCCACATACGTTTGTATGTCAAAATAATTTTCAGTATTACTCTAAATCCAAAATGGACGAATTGGTTTGGTGAGGTCTTTGAATAAATAAATTTTTAAATAAATTTTCTATTGAAAATAAATTATTTTAGGGCAAAAATGCGCTATTGTCCGTATTGGCCGGCGAAAATTGTGCCAACTCCACCGGGATTGGGACTTACGCCAAGAAATAAAGTTTGTGTTTTGTTTCTTGGTACAAAACAATTGTAAATATGTGAAAATATCTCAAAATGTATCCAATTCTAAAATAAGTTTTGAAAAAATTGCAGTGGATTTGTTGAAGTCGAAAAAATAGAAAGTTATGTTGAACATCGGGACAAATTCGTAAAAAAGGGTAAAGGTGTTGATTTTCGTACGGCTGTCAAGCACATGGATGAATACATCTCAGATAATGTGGTTAGTTTAAAAATTAAGAACTACAGAAAAAATAGATGGCTAATATAGAAATTATTTCAGAAATTTCGTTCCCATGCGTACGCAGAACCCATGAATAATAAAATTAAAATCAAGACTGAGCACGACATCGAGAAACGACTTGGTATCAAAGTGGAAAACCACCAGACAACAAACAACAGTGCCGATAACTTAGCTGAAGCATCGTCACATAGCTCATGGGTTCAAGAAAAAAAGTCTCTCATTGATAGCATCACGGCGTTGAAATCGGAAAATCAAATCTTTACACGGAATCTTCATGAAAAAGACACACAACTTTCTTCAGTGAATGCATCAAATAAAGCTCTTGAAACTCGTTTGACAGAACAACAATTGGAATTTTCCAAGAAAATCGATGATCTGAAATCGCAACTGCTCAAAGCAGTCAACAAAGATGAAGCCAATCAAAAATGCATCACTGACCTGAAACGTGAGCACTCATTGCTAATATCACAGAACAAGCAATTCCAAACTGGTTTAGCTCAAGTTGAAAATGAGACAGACTCGGACGATAGCGAAATTTACGAGGTTGAGAGTCTATTGGATGACAAATCAATAACAGAACGACACTATTTGGTGCACTGGAAAGGATATGACTCATCTCATGATAGCTGGGAGCGAGAATCGAATTTGTCTTGCGCGGCTTTGCTGAAAAAATATAAACAGGTCACCAAGAAACGCTAATGGTTTTAAATTACAAATTGTAATTTACAAACATAATACAATGCTTTTGAATGAATCGTTTTGCTCTGATGTAATATTTTTAAATGTTTCAGAAAAATAAATGATTTTGTAACATTCAGTACTGCAAAAAAAACTTATTTTCTTCATTAGAACCAATTTATTAGAACCAATTTATTAGAACATGTCTATGCGCACATTTTGACAACTTCAATGTAGTGAGATATTTCAAACGTCACATCAGTTGCATCGTAAACACTAAATTTTTCCAATAAGCTAATAAACCGGCATAATAAAAATGGCTGAAAATTTGTGGGAAAAACTTGAGTCTGAATTCGGTTTCGAAATCCCCAGCTACATCAAAATTGGAATCGAGTAAGAATGTTAAATATCTCCAAACGGAATTCAAGTTGATGTCACTAAAATAATAATTCTTCCTTCAAACAGTTTCAGTGGCTTTGGACATGTGATGGCCTTCAAAGCTATCACGGATGCTCACATCGCAACAATTGAAAAATGTATCAGGGAAGGTTTGTATAATTTTCTCGTGAAAAGTACAGTTGAAACAATGGGGGAACACGACCAGAGCATTATGATCGATGACGCCGATGTTTTGATTAGCAAAGATGAATTGATTAAGCATTTTGGAAAACTGCATGCATCTGACCCAACGAGATTTTGCTTCCAACCGGGGGACATCGTTTTAATTCAGGAAATGGTAAATTATGTCAAGCAGATCGCAGAAAGTAAAATCAAAACCGAAGGTTTAAAGGCATTTAATTGCAACCGAAGGAAAAAGTTGAACAAGCGCAATGCAAAGGTCTCCGTGCCCGAGGTTAATTTGGAGAAACTAAAACAAGAATTGGTTCAACGAGTAATAGATTGTCTGCAAATACGACAAGCGGATCGCATTTTTGGCATCGATTTGTTCACTGTCGTTCATGAAAACACTGTTGACGTACATATTAATAAAGGATCTGGTGTTTATGGATCGGTTCGATGCGTTATTTGCGATTTAGAAGAGAAAAAGAAAAAAAACTCAAAACGCGTTTTCTTCAACAGCGATACAGAATGGCCATGTTGGGTTTTGTCTAATTTTACAAAGCATTTAAAAATCGTTCACGGCTTGGTACGCATCGAATCTAAAACGCAACAATCGCAAGAAAATGCAGCTACAGACGATGAAGCGATCAGTGTGGTGACCGACAGCAAGGCAGACAATGAGCCGGAGGAATTTATTGTTTTAAACAACACTGAGTCACAAAATAATTCCGTCGAATTGGTTGTATTCCTGAAAGAAGAAATTAATGAAGTCGAAAACCGGCATGCAGAGAACGAGCAAATTATCAACAATACCGATATTTATACTCAACTCTCATATCAAATTACAGAAATGATGTCGGTCACTCTAAACAATCATGACTCACGCAAACAAATGGAATTTGTACTGAACAACACACATCAGCCGCTAACTGTTGCCAAAATTCATTCTGATGGGAATTGTTTATTTAGTGCACTTGCACATCAACTGTATGGATACAAAATAAACAGTGATTTTCATCGAAACACAACAAAAGAGCTGCGAGCACGCGTCGTCAAACACATTTTGGATCCACAAAACTTCTCACGATTCGTCTTCGATCTTCAGGATTACATTTACACTGAAAAAAGTAAGCAGCAAGTAACCGATATGAATACAGAGTGTAAATTATGGGTGAAACTTCGTCTGTCTCAAAATGGAAAATGGGGCGGCGTTGAAACAATCAAAGCTGTTTCAGATATGGAAAAGGTCAATATCCTCATTTTCAATGAGCACGGTCCATGCTATACAATAGGAGATTCGAATGTAAGCCACGATCGTTCAATTTGTGTTGCATATCGACTTGCATACGATGATGAAGGAAATGTTATAGCGGATATCCGCAATCACTATGATAGCGTATGTGATATGGATTCATCGGTGCTGTATGACGTCGCTCAAACAATCGAGAACAGAAAAAAGCAAGGACAAATGCTAATGACATAATTTACATGACTGATTTTTTTCAATTTGGTTTATTCTTTATTTACATCAGAGACTTTGTTCAGTTTCATTTACTCAGTTGTTATTTTGTGTTCTTTTTAGCTATAAATTTTAAGGTAGAGTCGAATTTCATTTTAAAAATGTCATAACTTATGATTGAGTTTTTGTGCAAAAATCGAGCTGTGTTCACTGTTCATTCGTTATTAAGGTTTTCGAAGCAATAATATTTGATATTTTATTACAGTCAAAACAAAAAAAAATGACTCAAATACGAACGTTACGATTGTTCCCCTGGTTGTTTGTTAAAACAATAAACAAAAAAAGTGAGCTCAGGCTACAGTTCATTAAAATCAATATTCATTTCATTTCATTTTTTTCTTCGTTGGTTTGCGTGGTCGCTTGCTGATTTTGCTTTTGAAATTTTTGTTTGGCTGTGTACGTAGTTTTTTTGTCGGATGTCGCACTCTCAGCAATCGATCGGAGCTAAGTTTGTGGCAGTCTTCTCTCAGCAGCCAACAAAGTGAGGTCTTCTTGACAATTGTTTGCTCCCCATCGTCACTCAGTATTTCGACATATGGACTTGTTAAATCAAAATTAGTATCCTTCAATTTTCCAGTGTAGTCTTTGAGTTTTATGTTATTGAGATCAAGCTCCGCAATGTTTTTTCGAACATTCAAAATCGGATCGCTCCTCTTGGCTTGAGTGTGTTTCGTTTCGTGTGGATTAATTTTACATTCGAATGTTTTTGCACTTCGTTTACCAATCAAACCAAATTCCTTGGCAGTTTTAATAGCATCTTTTTGGCAATTTTCTATTTCTGAATAGATTTCATCTTTCGAAGGCAGATCAAAGTGATTGTATTCGACGAATTCTGATTTTTTTTTCAAGCGAGGAAAAACAAAGTGTTCCGATGTGCCATGCATTATATCGTTTTGCAATTGAATTTTTGAGATACGTGCTGCTGCCTCTTTTAATGTACAGTTTACCACAGTACTGTACGTGGACGAAAGTGATCGAAATTGTCGAAAAGTAGATTCACATTGTTGGCTTTCAAACAAATTCGGCAAAAACAGCTGTGGCTGATTGGTTTCTTTTAAATGTACCATAAGCAGAACCAGGCTGTGTGCATTTAGCTCAATGCACGCATAACAGTTTAAAGACAAGAAATTGTCCTTCAATGTGAATTCTTTGTGATTCTCAATGTAACGGCGCCAAATTCGAAACACGAAAACAGCATACCAAAGTCTTCTAATTCTTTGTAATGGTGTTAGATTTGGATCCATGTAAGCGGACATAATATCTCTCATCATTTTCAAATACAGAGATGTAGCTTCACTATTTTCAACGCCAAAATCCAAAAGTGCTGTCACTCTTTCATTACACATTCTCTCCGCTGATGAAAAGTTCTGGCGATCAGCCGGATTGAGCACCGATTCAGTCAGCTGATGTTCACCTTTTGAGTACATATACAGCAAAACGTATACATGAAGCATATCAATTTTAAACTTGCCGAATGGTAATTTCTTATTGAGCCATTTCGTTCGCAAAATCAAGTTTCGAAGTTTTGTGATAAGATGAATAATATCTTGCACATAAAACGGATTTAAAATGTTTTTACCACACGAAAACCATTTGATACTCGATGCTACACCCAATTGTGATAGATCTCTCATTACAGCGTTATAGCGAGGCTCTGAGTCAGACGATATTGTTAAGACACTAATTCCAACTTTAGCCAGTTCATTCTTAATATATATCCATCGGTGTTTAACATCAATCGCTGAATACTTGCTGTCTGATCCGAAAAGTAGGAGATAAAATGGTGAAGCCTTTTTTTCAACCGGTTGTGCCATCACAACGATTAAATTAGTTGATACACTCCCAGTTTTAAAATGATTCAATATTTCAGTGGCAGTTCTTGCTGGGAATTTAAACGGAATTGGTAGGCCACTTTCGCCATGAATTGGAAGAGTAAAACCAATAACTTGGTTTGTTCGAGAGTCATATTGCACTCGACCCACAACACGTGTGGCGTCCTCTGATAAACAAACAACATTCGGAAGACTACGCTCATTTAAATAATTCCGCAGCTCTTCTGTTCGTAAAACACCTTCAGTTATATGATAGTGAGATGATTGAATGTAGCGATTGATTGATGGCAATGAAGGAATGGCGCCTTCCAAATTTGCTTGTAGTGTCTGATATGCTAATGAACCCATGATCATGCGTAAGTACATAGCAAATTTTCGAGTATCCGGGTCGTATCGAAATCCGCCTGGTTTGCGATCAGAATTTTGGCGAGCATTTGATAGCAATTGGTTTAAGAAGTACGAATATGTCATTTGTTCGACGTTGTCTCCAATTCCTGATCTAGCTCCTGATGATATGCTTTCAGTTTTGATTTCCTTCGATGACTTGAAATGACTAAGACCTGTATTTTTTCCATTTTGGTCGACGATGCTTTTAACATGCGCTACTAGCTCTTTTATTAGTACTCTTTCACCAGGTAAAAAAATGAATTTTTCATGATCTTTTGCAAAAATCCGACCGTAAAATTCCTCTGGATTTTTTATCTCGACTAATTTTGCAATATCGTATCTTATGAATTTTTCCAGGTCATCGATGTGTTGATCTGAGATTTCTTTGAAAACGAGTGCATTGCCAAAATTGCTATAGCTGGAAATACGAAATAATGAAAGATTGGTGATAACAAAAGCTATCAACTATAAATCCCAACTTACTCGAATCCATTCTTTATAAAAGTTGGTATTTCAACACAAAGGTCACTTTCAAGAATTGTCCAGAATAGATTTTCCATTTTATTTCAATTGAATAATACGAATTTTATACTGTGCGATCTACAACTTGCATCATATGGTTTGAAACGTCAATAGTTTGACATTCACGTCAAACTGTATGGAAAGTAATTTGTAATTCATATATAATAAGCAAAAGTAATTTTGAGGGAAAAAAGTAATAGGAAAAGTAATTTGTTGAGTGATTTGCCCCTTGGAACACAAGGACTTGGGTGTTCTAATTGACAGAAAGCTATCTTTTGC